TCACTTTCTAAGTTTAAGAGTAAGTGAGTGAGTGGGTATGGTTTTACGCCGCTTTGAGCAATATTCCAGCAATATCACGGCGGGGGACACCAGAAATGGGCTTCACGTATACCCATGTCGGGAATCGAACCCGGGTCTTCGGCGTGACGGGCGAACACTTTAACCACTTGGTTACCCGACCGCCCCTCTAAGTTTAAGAACAGATGAAGCTGTTTTTGTTTATCAATAATCGGGATATTTCGTGAATTTATGTCAATTAAGAAACGTAGTAGGGAGATTTATTTCCTCGCTGGGGTCATTTCATGATGATGATGGGGATTTTACAAGCGCTTCCGGTGGAGCCGATTTCGCACTCGGTATCATTTGAGTGTCATAAAACAGATTTTACAATTTAAGATGGAGGAGGCGTCGATTTGCTAGGACATGATGATGAACTTCCTCTGCTTTTTTCAGAGGAGTTATGCTTCACAAGATCGACGCTCTATCTCGGAACCCTTAACATTACCAACACCGGCCGGACATGTCAGAGGTGGGACACTGACACCCCACACAAACGTCGAGACTATCCCATGGGGATGTCACGCGGGGACCTCGCCCTAGTTGACGAGAGCAACTACTGTCGGGTGAGCCCCTACACCGAGGTGCCGTGGTGTTATACGCTTGACCCCAGCGTTCGCTGGGAGAAGTGTAGTGTCCCGTTCTGTTGAGTACAGTTTTCAGTAGACGGTTATGGAAATCATATGGACGCTCAAGTGAAGTGTATGAAGATGAACGTTCAAATGTATGATGATAGACAGTTTATAGACATCATATGAACGCTCAAGCGTATGACGATAAACTGTTTTTAGACTTCACATGGACGATCAAGCGTATGATGATAGACGGTTTATAGACATCATATGAACGCTCAAGCGTATGACGATAGACGGTTTTTAGACTTCATATGGACGCTCAATTGGATGACGATAGACGGTTTATAGACATCATATGAACGCTCAAGCGTATGAAAGTAGCTGGTTTATAGACATCATATGAACGCTCAAGCGTATGACGATAAACTGTTTTTAGACTTCACATGGACGATCAAGCGTATGATGATAGACGGTTTTTCAGACTTCATATGGACGCTCAATTGGATGACGATAGACGGTTTATAGACATCATATGGACGCTCAAGCGTATGACGATAGACGGTTTTTAGATTTCATATGAACGCTCAAGCGTATGACGATAGACGGTTTTTAGACTTCATATAGAGGCTCAAGTGTATGGCGACAGACGGTTTATAGACATATCATGAAGGCTCAAGAGTATGAAAGTAGCTGGTTTATAGACGCCATCTCGACGCTCAAGTGTATGGCGACAGACGGTTTATAGACATCATATCATGAAGGCTCGAGAGTATGAAAGTAGCTGGTTTATAGACGCCATCTCGACGCTCAAGTGTATGGCGACAGACGGTTTATAGACATCATATCATGAAGGCTCGAGAGTATGAAAGTAGCTGGTTTATAGACGCCATCTCGACGCTCAAGTTTATGGCAGTAGATGTCTTATGGGCGTTTGTTTGTCGCACTCAGCAATATTCCAGCTATATGACGGCGGTCTGTAAATAATAAGTCTGGACCAGACAATCCATCCAAGTCAGCGAGCCTGACCACCCGATCGCATTAGTCGCCAGTTTCGACAAGTACTGTCGCCTCTTACGGCAGGCATGGGTTGCTGAAGACCTATTGTTACCCGAATCTTCACGGGGGTCAAGTGTGTGACCATAGACTGTTTGTAGACGACATGTGGACACCCAAGTGTATGACAAAAGACGTTTTTTACACTTCATATTGACGTTTAAGTGCATGACGAAAGACGGTTAATGGACTTCAATAGGCACGATCAAGGCACAAAAGCGATTTTGTTGCAATTTCTATCTTCCCTTTGAGAGTTGTAACAAACTACGGCAAATTGTAATACCAAGTGCGGTAAATTGTAATAACATCTCCTTCAGATTCCAGTCATAATTCGAGTTCCAGTGTTTGTTGAAGTTTAACATGATCACTTCCAACCTCCACTGTGTTTAAGGAAATAAAAAAAGCGATTTTGTTTCAATTCTTTTTTCATTTCTATTGAGAGGCAGATGAGGCAAATTGTAACAACTCGCGACGAAAGAGAATTAAGCAGTTTTGATCCCTTTCGTCATTATTTTTATATATTAAAATGTAATGTAATGTAATTTAATGTAATTTGATGTAATGTAATGTAATGTATCGTATGTAGTATTTTATTGTTATGTGTCCATTTGCATTCCTTGACCATCGACCATCATTTCGAAAAAACGATAGTTTTTTTTATCGATTCCCCATTTATCAGAAAATAAACTTGTCCTGGTTTTTTTAATGAAGACAGACATTATAATGCTGTCACTGCTTTCAGGGCATACTCTGTTCTTTCTTTGAACTGCTAAAAATGTTCAGGTCATGCAGTGAACAATGTTTTTTTTGCAAATACTGAGACCACATTAGGGTTTTCTAGTATTTTTCCGGAACAAATCATTTCTACAAAATCAGTATGCTGTGAAGGTCGTTGTGGGTTTATTTCTAGATTTGGTCAGTGGCAGCAGATGACTGATGCGCTCGTAAAATATGCACCTGGAGTGTGATTTAGAGTTACCGCCCTTGTTTTTTTTGTAAACAAACATAGCAATCGTGATATTACGAGAAGCTTCGTTAGGTGACAGCTTCTCGAAGGCTGACTGTTCCTACATTAGATTGAGACGAGTGCAATTCCATGCCTTTTCGACCTCTCTTGTATCGTATCTACTTGCCAAGTGTGGACGTCACCTTTCTGAAAACACCGTATTGCCGTCAGATCCAAGATTACGCCGGATTCAAGAACGCATCACGTACCTCCTTCAATCCATTCGGCAATGACACATTCTGGGCATGTGTGATTGTACTGGCATTTATCATATGCCCTGTTACTTATTGCTGCTGCAACTTCTTTGATCCATCGTTTTGCCTCTTGGGGCTGTAAGCCTAAAACTGTTTTAAAATAATTTGTTTATTTTGGGATAAGGTTCAAAGGCGTCTGCACAATGTGCGCCCAGTCCCTACAACTGCCGATGAACTACGCACAGCTGCTCTGGATGTGTGCAGGAGGAACCCTAGGGTCTTCACAAATCGTCTGATCCACACAATGTACAGATGTGTGGCAGTGATCAATGCTAATGGTGGTCACACCAGGCATTTTGGGTATTGACCCGAAACTGTGTAAGCCCTTAACATTTGAAAAAAACAATTACGTCATCTGCCTTTTAATCCATTTAACTGTCTTCAGTCAAATGTTTGTCAATCTTGTCTATTGTCAATCTAGTAGTATTTCTTGTCTTTACTGTTGAAAATAAATAACATGTATACGGCATACTCGACTTGCGTTTCTTTTGCGTGTGAGTATATGTTGCTGTTTGCTCTTAGGAATCATATTTGTTTTATGTGGCTTTTATGTGGCTGAATAAGACTTTCATAAGGAAAGACATGATGAACTTCCCTTGGAGCGATCAGCTGACGCACATTGTGACTTTGGAGCGTTAGGTAAATCACTATCACAACAGAATGAACCAGGACAACATGTAAATGTGTGAAGAATTCCCTCAAAGACAATTTCTAAATGTGTAAATAAAAGCGACACAACACTTTCCATATTTATAAGAAATTGTACGATTCCGACTACATCATGAGCGTGGTTATGAATCACTATCAAACAGTGATGATACCAGGTGTTCGCGAAAGGATGAGCTTATCCTGCCCCACCCATGGCACCCGTCACGAACACGTACAACGGAAAAGTCATATGCTCACCTGAAGAAAACCACGGAAACATATGGTACAAGTCAAACAGGGAATTGCATGGGATATCATTTTTGTCACTGGTGCGTCAAATTTGGAACGAACTCCTGAAATGACAATATCTAAGTGTATGAAGAATTCCCCCAAAGACATCTATTAAAATGTATTAAAAATTCCCCCAAGATAATATTGAGATGTATGAACAATTTCCCCAAACACAACATCTTAATCTATGGAGGATTCACTCGAAGATTAAATATTTATGTAGAAAGAATTCGACTTTTATTCCCTTATCTGATCATAGACAATTGTTCTAAAGAAAGTGCATTTGTTAAGAGTGGTGGTTGGTGGTGTGTGACTTATATGAAGAGGGGACTTGAAAGATGTTGATTGTGATCCTGTATTCAGATACATCTTATGTTTTTTGTCAGGAAAACACTCGAGCAACTACTTAAAATCTTTCGTTTTTTTACGGACCCTTTTTAATGTTTCGTGGTTTTCATAGTCACATTCCAACTTCTGTCATTGATGTCGGAACAGCAATACTCACCATGAACTCAGAAAATTATTCAACTGTATACATGAGCAATTAACGTTTGCTATGGATAAAAAAAGACGATCAATGAGGTCGAGGCAGACCAACTCAGGTGCTCTCTGGTTCAGCCATGCACAGAGCATTGAAGGCAATACGGACATGTTTTGAATGACAGTTTCCTTCAATGATATGTTGTCACACTAATCATTGTCTCAACATAGTGATGGTGTAACAACTACTAGTGTATGGAACAAGAACTGGTTGTCACACTAATCATTGTCTCAACATAGTGATGGTGTAACAACTACTAGTGTATGGAACAAGAACTGGTTGTCACACTAATCATTGTCTCAACATTGTGATGGTGTAACAACTACTAGTGTATGGAACAAGAACTGGCTGTCACACTAATCATTGTCTCAACATAGTGATGGTGTAACAACTACTAGTGTATGGAACAAGAACTGGTTGTCACACTAATCATTGTCTCAACATAGTGATGGTGTAACAACTACTAGTGTATGGATGGTAACAAGAACTGGTTTTAAGGAAACTGTAATAAACTCAGCTTTCAAGACATACATGTGGAAAAGTCAGCGGCCTCTATTAAAGAGGGTGAGGAAGAAACCTGCCCAAGACACACTTATAGTCACAACTGCGTGAGTGGACATCGACGACCTTGACAGATGGTATAACGTTATTAATCTGAAAAGAACTACAAAATGAAAAACCTTCTGACAACAATGTTGCTTGTGGAGCTGATGACAGGGTGTGGTCAAGTCACGGGGACATGCAGTCGAGGGGTTAACACCCCCGGGATCCTGGCTGGTAGTAGACTCGTGGGGTCAGTCTACCTCGTGCTCCAGACCCTTAACCTACAGGACTGTGTGACGTCATGTTTGCAGCAGTCTCGCTGCGCCAGCTTGAACTTCAAGGCGGGACAATGCGAGCTCAACTACGACAACTCGACAACGGCTCCTTCTGGAATGGTGGCTGCCCCTGGTTGGAACCATGCAAGCGCGTCACATATGCCATCGGTAAGTAATGATAATGATTCAAATGATAAAAATGATAATCATGATAAAATTGAAAATTATATAGGTTGTAGAAGTATCATTCGTGTCGCTCCCGAGGGACGCATCAACCCCGTGTGATACTGCCACAACGATTAATCTTACCGACATTTTATAATATGACATTGTATAAGAATTGGAATAAATTCAAGATTAGTTGAAAACAGCTGTTCGATCGAGCTGAGGTTAACTTGCGCTTTGTCACGTGACTTTCATTGAAAGTGTGCGGCTTAGTGCTTCGAAGCGGGGTATAAGGGATTTATTCTCCCTCTCAGAAATCAACTGCAGCCTGTCTTGTTTGTGGCGTGGTGTAAGGGATTTATTCTCCCGATGAGAAATTAATTTCACTCCAAGGCGGGATACATAGCATTTTATCAAGATCGCGTGAACCAAGAAGATTTCATCATTCTAACATGGTATCCGTGAAGATCCGGGTTAGAATAGGTCTTCAGCAACCCATGCTTTCTGTAAAAGGGGACTATGCTTGCTGTAAATGGCGACTGACGGGATCCTGTGGTCGGATTCGCTGACTTGGTTGATGAATGTCATCGTATCCCAATTGCGCGGATCGATGCTTATGATTTCAATTACTGGATTGTCTGATCCAGACTTTTATTTACTGACCGCCGTCATATAGCTGGAATAAAAACCTGGAATTGTTTTTCTTAAATATGGTCAAATGTGTAATGGAACGTATACTTTTGATATGAATAAAACATAAACATAATGCATTACCCGAATTTGACTTTGTGTAAAGGAAGGTTATTACTAAAAGGTTAGAACACATTTACATACAGTTTATCTGGTTGGACTACATTATTCACGCCATCACTTAGAACGTTAAAGAAAAGATTTTATTTCTACCAACGGCAGCTAAAACAAAACAATGAAGGTATGACAAGGTCTGTGAATGTTGTTCCTCTTCTTTTCAGCGACTTGCCGGTGTCTGTGAGTCCAGACCGTGTGGTGTGAACTACACGTGTAGAGACAGGGGCTGGAGCTATGAATGTGAACAAGGTAACCTCCTGTATAAACATAAACATGCCAGCTATCAATATTAAGCACTCATCTAGCCTACTGTCGCTATGTCCACATCCATTACTTATTTGTTCACTTAGATAACTCGCGAAGCCCGGTCATTCCAGAGCTATGTGGGCGGTCGGGTAGCCTTGTGGTTAAAGCATTCGCTCGTCACGCCGAAGACCCGACTTCGATTCCCGACATGGGTACAATGTGTGAAGCCCATTTCTGGTGTCCCCCGCCGTGATATTACTGGAATATTGCTAAAAGCGGCATAAAACCATACTCACTCACTCACTATCAGCTACATGATATAGAAACGACCTACTCACTCACTCCAGAGCTAAATGTTGAAGTTGTTAAATACTCAAGGTGAGCCTATATTTCAATACTCTGTTTGAAGGACGTCCGCGTGTATATTTTGAAATGAACAATATTAGATGTCTTAGAATTTAGATATTGCCAGTGATAAACATGATCATTGAGTTTTGATCATGTGGTTACAATCCGAGTAAGGGTCTACATTGCACAACACTGCGGACTTGCAATGTTTGTAATGTTTCTCATTACTGTAAGTAATATGCCTTATCGCCGGAACGGCTTGTTTTCACTTTCTAAGTTTAAGAGTAAGTGAGTGAGTGGGTATGGTTTTACGCCGCTTTGAGCAATATTCCAGCAATATCACGGCGGGGGACACCAGAAATGGGCTTCACGTGTACCCATGTCGGGAATCGAACCCGGGTCTTCGGCGTGACGGGCGAACACTTTAACCACTTGGTTACCCGACCGCCCCTCTAAGTTTAAGAACACATGAAGCTGTTTTTGTTTATCAATAATCGGGATATTTCGTGAATTTATGTCAATTAAGATTTATTTCCTCGCTGGGGTCATTTCATGATGATGATGGGGATTTTACAAGCGCTTCCGGTGGAGCCGATTTCGCACTCGGTATCATTTGAGTGTCATAAAACAGATTTTACAATTTAAGATGGAGGAGGCGTCGATTTGCTAGGACATGATGATGAACTTCCTCTGCTTTTTTCAGAGGAGTTATGCTTCACAAGATCGACGCTCTATCTCGGAACCCTGAACATTACCAACACCGGCCGGACATGTCAGAGGTGGGACACTGACACCCCACACAAACGTCGAGACTATCCCATGGGGATGTCACGCGGGGACCTCGCCCTAGTTGACGAGAGCAACTACTGTCGGGTGAGCCCCTACACCGAGGTGCCGTGGTGTTATACGCTTGACCCCAGCGTTCGCTGGGAGAAGTGTAGTGTCCCGTTCTGTTGAGTACAGTTTTCAGTAGACGGTTATGGAAATCATATGGACGCTCAAGTGAAGTGTATGAAGATGAACGTTAAAATGTATGATGATAGACAGTTTATAGACATCATATGAACGCTCAAGCGTATGACGATAAACTGTTTTCAGACTTCACATGGACGATCAAGCGTATGATGATAGACGGTTTTTCAGACTTCATATGGACGCTCAATTGGATGATGATAGACGGTTTATAGACATCATATGAACGCTCAAGCGTATGACGATAGACGGTTTTTAGACTTCATATGGACGCTCAATTGGATGACGATAGACGGTTTATAGAGAACATATGAACGCTCAAGCGTATGAAAGTAGCTGGTTTATAGATATCATATGAACGCTCAAGCGTATGACGATAAACTGTTTTTAGACTTCACATGGACGATCAAGCGTATGATGATAGACGGTTTTTCAGACTTCATATGGACGCTCAATTGGATGACGATAGACGGTTTATAGACATCATATGAACGCTCAAGCGTATGACGATAGGCGGTTTTTAGATTTCATATGAACGCTCAAGCGTATGACGATAGACGGTTTTTAGACTTCATATAGAGGCTCAAGTGTATGGCGACAGACGGTTTATAGACATATCATGAAGGCTCAAGAGTATGAAAGTAGCTGGTTTATAGACGCCATCTCGACGCTCAAGTGTATGGCGACAGACGGTTTATATACATCATATCATGAAGGCTCGAGAGTATGAAAGTAGCTGGTTTATAGACGCCATCTCGACGCTCAAGTGTATGGCGACAGACAATTTTTAGACATCATATCATGAAGGCTCGAGAGTATGAAAGTAGCTGGTTTATAGACGCCATCTCGACGCTCAAGTGTATGGCGACAGACGGTTTATAGACATCATATCATGAAGGCTCAAGAGTATGAAAGTAGCTGGTTTATAGACGCCATCTCGACGCTCAAGTGTATGGCGACAGACGGTTTATAGACATCATATCATGAAGGCTCGAGAGTATGAAAGTAGCTGGTTTATAGACGCCATCTCGACGCTCAAGTGTATGGCGACAGACGGTTTATAGACATCATATCATGAAGGCTCGAGAGTATGAAAGTAGCTGGTTTATAGACGCCATCTCGACGCTCAAGTTTATGGCAGTAGATGTCTTATGGGCGTTTGTTTGTCGCACTCAGCAATATTCCAGCTATATGACGGCGGTCTGTAAATAATAAATCTGGACCAGACAATCCATCCAAGTCAGCGAGCCTGACCACCCGATCGCATTAGTCGCCAGTTTCGACAAGCACTGTCGCCTCTTACGGCAGGCATGGGTTGCTGAAGACCTATTGTTACCCGGATCTTCACGGGGGTCAAGTGTGTGACCATAGACTGTTTGTAGACGACATGTGGACACCCAAGTGTATGACAAAAGACGTTTTTTACACTTCATATTGACGTTTAAGTGCATGACGAAAGACGGTTAATGGACTTCAATAGGCACGATCAAGGCACAAAAGCGATTTTGTTTCAATTTCTATCTTCCCTTTGAGAGTTGTAACAAACTACGGCAAATTGTAATACCAAGTGCGGTAAATTGTAATAACATCTCCTTCAGATTCCAGTCATAATTCGAGTTCCAGTGTTTGTTGAAGTTTAACATGATCACTTCCAACCTCCACTGTGTTTAAGGAAATAAAAAAAGCGATTTTGTTTCAATTTTTTTTTCATTTCTATTGAGAGGCAGATGAGGCAAATTGTAACAACTCGCGACGAAAGAGAATTAAGCAGTTTTGATCCCTTTCGTCATTATTTTTATATATTAAAATGTAATGTAATGTAATTTGATGTAATGTAATGTAATGTATCGTATGTAGTATTTTATTGTTATTTGTCCATTTGCATTCCTTGACCATCGACCATCATTTCGAAAAAACGATAGTTTTTTATCGATTCCCCATTTATCAGAAAATAAACTTGTCCTGGTTTTTTTAATGAAGACAGACATTATAATGCTGTCACTGCTTTCAGGGCATACTCTGTTCTTTCTTTGAACTGCTAAAAATGTTCAGGTCATGCAGTGAACAATGTATTTTTTGCAAATACTGAGACCACATTAGGGTTTTCTAGTATTTTCCGGAACAAATCATTTCTACAAAATCAGTATGCTGTGAAGGTCGTTGTGGGTTTATTTCTAGATTTGGTCAGTGGCAGCAGATGACTGATGCGCTCGTAAAATATGCACCTGGAGTGTGATTTAGAGTTACCGCCCTTGTTTTTTTTGTAAACAAACATAGCAATCGTGATATTACGAGAAGCTTCGTTAGGTGACAGCTTCTCGAAGGCTGACTGTTCCTACATTAGATTGAGACGAGTGCAATTCCATGCCTTTTCGACCTCTCTTGTATCGTATCTACTTGCCAAGTGTGGACGTCACCTTTCTGAAAACACCGTATTGCCGTCAGATCCAAGATTACGCCGGATTCAAGAACGCATCACGTACCTCCTTCAATCCATTCGGCAATGACACATTCTGGGCATGTGTGATTGTACTGGCATTTATCATATGCCCTGTTACTTATTGCTGCTGCAACTTCTTTGATCCATCGTTTTGCCTCTTGGGGCTGTAAGCCTAAAACTGTTTTAAAATAATTTGTTTATTTTGGGATAAGGTTCAAAGGCGTCTGCACAATGTGCGCCCAGTCCCTACAACTGCCGATGAACTACGCACAGCTGCTCTGGATGTGTGCAGGAGGAACCCTAGGGTCTTCACAAATCGTCTGATCTACACAATGTACAGATGTGTGGCAGTGATCAATGCTAATGGTGGTCACACCAGGCATTTTGGGTATTGACCCGAAACTGTGTAAGCCCTTAACATTTGAAAAAAACAATTACGTCATCTGCCTTTTAATCCATTTAACTGTCTTCAGTCAAATGTTTGTCAATCTTGTCTATTGTCAATCTAGTAGTATTTCTTGTCTTTACTGTTGAAAATAAATAACATGTATACGGCATACTCGACTTGCGTTTCTTTTGCGTGTGAGTATATGTTGCTGTTTGCTCTTAGGAATCATATTTGTTTTATGTGGCTTTTATGTGGCTGAATAAGACTTTCATAAGGAAAGACATGATGAACTTCCCTTGGAGCGATCAGCTGACGCACATTGTGACTTTGGAGCGTTAGGTAAATCACTATCACAACAGAATGAACCAGGACAACATGTAAATGTGTGAAGAATTCCCCCAAAGACAATTTCTAAATGTGTAAATAAAAGCGACACAACACTTTCCATATTTATAAGAAATTGTACGATTCCGACTACATCATGAGCGTGTTTATGAATCACTATCAAACAGTGATGATACCAGGTGTTCGCAAAAGGATGAGCTTATCCTGCCCCACCCATGGCACCCGTCACGAACACGTACAACGGAAAAGTCATATGCTCACCTGAAGAAAACCACGGAAACATATGGTACAAGTCAAACAGGGAATTGCATGGGATGTCATTTTTGTCACTGGTGCGTCAAATTTGGAACGAACTCCTGAAATGACAATATCTAAGTGTATGAAGAATTCCCCCAAAGACATCTATTTAAATGTATTAAAAATTCCCCCAAGATAATATTGAGATGTATGAACAATTTCCCCAAACACAACATCTTAATCTATGGAGGATTCACTCGAAGATTAAATATTTATGTAGAAAGAATTATTTTCTTCCCATTTCTGATCATAGACAATTGTTCTAACGAAAGTGCATTTGTTAAGAGTGGTGGTTGGTGGTGTGTGACTTATATGAAGTGGGTACTTGAAAGATGTTGATTGTGATCATGTATTCAGATACATCTTATGTTTTTTGTCAGGACAGGTAAAACACTCGAGCAACAACTTAAAATCTTTCGTTTTTTTACGGACCCTTTTTAATGTTTCGTGGTCTTTATTGTCACTTTCCAACTTCTGTCGTTGATGTCGGAACAGCAATACTCAGTTTACCGACATGAACTCAGAATATTATTCAACTGTATACATAAGCAATTTACGTTTGCTATGGATAAAAAGAAGACGATCAATAAGGTCGAGGCAGACCAACTCAGCGCTCTCTGGTTCAGCCATGCACGGAGCATTGAAGGCAATACGGACATGTTTTGAATGACAGTTTCCTTCAATGATATGTTGTCAAACTAATCATTGTCTCAACATAGTGATGGTGTAACAACTACTAGTGTATGGAACAAGAACTGGTTGTCACACTAATCATTGTCTCAACATAGTGATGGTGTAACAACTACTAGTGTATGGAACAAGAACTGGTTGTCACACTAATCATTGTCTCTACATAGTGATGGTGTAACAACTACTAGTGTATGGAACAAGAACTGGTTGTCACACTAATCATTGTCTCAACAAAGTGATGGTGTAACAACTACTAGTGTATGGAACAAGAAATGGTTGTCACACCAATCATTGTCTCAACATAGTGATGGTGTAACAACTACTAGTGTATGGAACAAGAACTGGTTGTCACACTAATCATTGTCTCAACATAGTGATGGTGTAGCAACTACTAGTGTATTGAACAAGAACTGGTTGTCACACTAATCATTGTCTCAACATAGTGATGGTGTAACAACTACTTGTGTATAGAACAAGAACTGGTTGTCACACTCATCATTGTCTCAACATAGTGATTGTGTAACAACTACTAGTGTATGGAACAAGAACTGGTTGTCACACTAATCATTGTCTCAACATAGTGATGGTGTCACAACTACTTGTGTATGGAACAAGAACTGGTTGTCACACTAATCATTGTCTCAACATAGTGATGGTGTCACAACTACTTGTGTATGGAACAAGAACTGGTTGTCACACTAATCATTGTCTCAACATAGTGATGGTGTAACAACTACTAGTGTATTGAACAAGAACTGGTTCTCACACTAATCATTGTCTCAACATAATGATGGTGTAACAACTACTAGTGTATGGAACAAGAACTGGTTTTAAGGAAACTGTGATAAACTCAGCTTTCAAGACATACATGTGGAAA